GAGGCGCGGGTCCGCAGGCCCCGCGGTGTTGCAGACGGCCTACTAAAAAAAAAGAAATGTACTCGTTTTTTTTTTTTTTCTTTTTTTTGGAGGCGGTTTCGCGAGCGCAAAAACGCCCTTCTGCGGCTTGGCCGCGCTCTTCATTGGCTGCTGGGCAAATAAGCAAGCATCCAAACACGTGCCTCTGCGGCCGTGAGAAGAAGAGCAGAAACATGCATTTTGGTTCCGCTCCCTCACTTGTTTTTTTTTTTTTTTTGCTTTTTCGAGCAAGCGGTTCAGCGATCATTCTGGGAGACGCAGGGTGGAGGGAAGGTAAGCGCGATCGCGAGAGGACTCGCGATCGCGTTGCTGGGGATGGGAGTGTTGTGCGAAGCCGATAAGGTTACAAAACAGAAACAACGCACCCGACGGAAGAGGGAGGCATAGGAGTGAGCGTTGCCTTTCCCCTGCTGGTATTGGACCTCACGCCCTGCGAGTTAACACGCGGAGAAGCAGGGAGCTACCGCACCCCTCATCTCTGGATTTCTGGGCGTCACCGCGGTTACCCGCGGCGACCGTTTGCTGCCGTGTGCGCAGCCGGCATGGGGGTGAAGAAATAATTTGGCGCCAACTGCCCAGATGGAGCTTCGGTGGTGGTGTGGCCCGCTGGCCTCCTCTCTGTGCCTTCGCACGCAGACACGCCACTGCCTGCCTGGCGACCCTCCCCCACCTTTCCGTCTCTCTCTCTCTTTCCACCTCTTCTCGTCGCAACTGTAGTAAGCTAAAGCCTCTGGAGAGAAGCAATCACATGCGCACGACTGGCAACGAAGAGACAGCGCTGACCGCTATGCACCCGTCTACCCTCGCGGCTCCCGGCACGAGGGGCACACATCCTAACGACGCCACATTATCGTTGCAACCCTCTACTTACAATGAGGGCAACACTGCCAAGAAAGAGGAGGCAAATGCACCGTCTGTGAACCAGTTGCCGGCTCCCAACGGTCTTCTTGCAAAGCTGAACACGTGCGTGAACGTCGTAATTCCACCTGGAGGAATCCTTGCGAGCGCCTTCAACCTCGCGTCGTCGTCGATCGGGGCCGGCATCCTCGGTCTGCCCCTGGCGACGAACAAAAGTGGGGTCGTGATGGCCATTGTGTACCTTGCGATCATTACGTTTTTGACCATCTACTCGGTGTACGCTCTCGGTGTGGCGGCGCAACGAACGAAGATCCGCAGCTACGAGGCGGTGGCGTTGGTACTGATGGGCCGCTGGTTCGCTTTGTTTGTCGCGTCGGTCCGCGTCTTCCATGGGTTTAGCGCCTGCGTCGCGTACGTGATCAGCGTCGGCGACATCTTCAAGAACGTCTTGATGCACAGCCAGAGCACGCCGAAATTTCTGAAGACAACGGCTGGCAACCGCCTGCTGACAGTCGTTGTGTGGCTCTGCGCGATGATGCCGTTGGTGATCCCGAAGCACATCGACTCGCTTCGCTACTTTTCCACCTTCGCGGTTTCCTTCATCATCTACTTCGTCGTGGTGATTGTGGTGCACTCCTGCACGCACGGGCTGTCGGAAAACATCCACAATGTCAGCATGGGCAAGGATGACAACTCCGCTGTGGTGCTCTTCAATTCCGGCAACGAGGCAATCGAGGGCCTCGGCGTCTTCATGTTCGCCTACGTTTGTCAAATTAATGCGTACGAGGTGTATTGGGACATGAAGAACCCCACGCTTACGCGGTTCACGTTTGCCGCCGGCATTGGCATGACGCTCTGCTTCCTGCTGTACGGCATGACAAGCTTCTTCGGTTACATGGACTTTGGCAAGAAGGTGAACGACTCCATTCTGCTCATGTACCACCCACTCGATGAGCCGGAGGTGTTGGTGGCGTACATTGGTGTGCTCTCAAAGTTGTGCGCCTCCTACGCGATGCTTTTCATGGCCGCACGCAATGCCATCTACCACGGTCTCGGTTGGGACGTGGATAAGTTGCCCTACTGGAAGCACTGCATTGCTGTGAGTCTTATTTCAGCTGTTGCACTGCTATGTGGCCTGTTTATCCCGAGGATCCAAATTGTATTGGGCTTTGCAGGCTCCATCTCTGGTGGATGCATCAGCTTTATTTTTCCGGCGTTTTACGTGATGTATGCGGGCGACTGGACATGGAAGAAAGTGGGCGCCTTCCACTACATCCTCACGTACGTGATGCTGGTGGCGGGTGTCGTTGGCGTTGTGTTTGGTACGGGCGCCACCATTTATGACACCGCTGTAGGCTAGAGAGACGACAGCACAGAATGCTGTGAATATTACCATTATGATTATGTTTTTTTTTCTTTTTTCTTTTTTTTTCCATTTTTCATTTTTTAGTCCCTTACGTTCTCGTTTTTTTTTCTTTTTTTTGACTTCATTGCTTTTTTATCTTGTTGTTGTTGTTGTTTTTTTTTTTTTTTTCAAGACGAAGTGGGGGAAAAGCTGAAATTGACGGTAAAATTTCATGTTAGTGAAAACTAAGAGTGGTGCAGAAGGACTATGATTATGTGTATTTACTACTGTGTTTTGTTTTTTTTTGTTTTTTTTTGTTTTTTTTTGTTTTTTTGTTGTTGTTAGTTTGTCTCATGTGTGTGTGTGTGTGTGTATGCAAACGTATGGGCATTTTTTCCATTTATGAGTTTTAATTTTTATGCTTTCCCTCCTTTGTTTGTTTGTTTGTTTGTTTTTTTTATGAACTTGTGTGTGACTCCAACGATACCGTCATGGTAAATAGCTAGTGCAGCTTACTGTATGCTTTGTTTCCCACATTCCGCCCAACCACCTGCTCTTGTTACGTTTCCTACGGAGGGGTGTGACGGTTGCGTCTACCTGAACTGCAGTTTCTTCACTTTCACAATAAGTGGCGTTGCCCTACCGCCATGAGTTATGAATTTGTATCTTCGTGAGCACTGAATAACTCCCATCTTAAGTGGGGAATGTTGAGCGCTATGGGCCAAAATATGGTGTTCATCGTGGTGTTGCCCTTCAATTTGTGTAGTGAACGAACACCCCAACACTGTCTGCTTTTCTCAGGTGCTTGTCATGACGTGTAGTTTGACGCAAGGCGCATTGTTTTGAAAGGGCAAGTTCGTTTATGTGCAGGTGCATGCGTCGCGCGCCGCCCACGACACTCCCCACACTTTCTGGAGTGGAGCGGGTGGCAGCCGTCACTGCTGAAGGGCTTTTAAGGCGGCTGTGCAACTGAACTGGCCCAACGGTGTCTTCACATGACGCGTTTGCCCTTTGACTGGTGCACATCCGAGCGATTACACGGTTGGCGCGTCCCCTGTGACGGGTGGTGAGCGCGTTGCACGGCTAGGGCCGAGGCAAAGTCGTGAATTGGGTCTTTTTGCGATGGTCCACGCGGCGCAGGCATTCAGATGCTTCTGCGTAGCGGTGTTGGGGGAAGGGCACGAAGGAGCCAGAAGGAGGCCGGCCGAGAGAGTTGGTCTG